TTTTTATCGGACCACTTCCCACTCCCTGTGGTCGCTTGCACCACTGATCAAGTCAATGGGTAACTCGGCCATTTAGCTGCATTACAATGGCCTAATCGGTAATAGAATTTACCGCCCGGTCATTTTATTTTGGTTTTGTTGTTGTGCCTTGATGCTGTCTTTTGTTGTCAACAGAAGAGAATGGGCGCGCGAACAACTTGAAATTGACATCATGTTGTTCGCGACTTTATTACTACTTTCGTCGTATTTAGTAGCTGTACTCCCGCCATAAAAAGTCTGATGCTCAGATTAATCGTTATTTATATGGGCACTGAATAAAAATAGCAATATCTGATTGGTGACCAGTCGGTACCAACCTTACAGTGCTTTATCTCTGCGGTTTGACATGCAGCTGCTCCGGTCTACTGTAACCTAGCACGCAGTAATAGGGACTGTGACTAGCAGTATATTATTATGTCAGATAATTTCAAATGTGGAAGCTACTAGTTCACGGCTCGTTTAATGTTCACATGTCCTACTTCACATGACTGCGATAATATGTGAACCGTTTTGTGGCAAAGTTGTCGAATATTCGCGGAATTTGACGTTGTGTTTTGACTCGCTATTGTTCAGTGGACTCGTTCATCTTGAAAGTCATCCACTGATCAGATGGTAAATCTGGGCGGGAATTTGACCTCAAAATACCGAAAATAACTCCGTACATCTTACGCATTATTTAAGTAATCAGCAAGTATAAACAGTTTTTCAAAAAATTCAAGTATTACCCGCAAATTGCAATGTGCCACGTACTGATTGAAATGTATTATTGAAAGGCTATCGATGATGGCGTTTTATCTTTTGTTCCCGAAAGTTCCTCATACCGTTATAACTATAAATCTGTCCTATTGTCTTTTAACTGTATGACGATACAGCTACGTAATAGAACAATGCATTTAATGTGTTGTTCTACCATTTCCTAATTATTTGTTTTTATAGTGAATGTCCATTGTTACTAATTAATATGACAGTGACTATAGTAGTCCTTGCCCAAGGTTATACTGTTGTCATGGTTACTCATCAGTCTGTACAATATGCCATTTAATTTGGATTTTTTTTTTTGTGTAACACAAATAAAACATGTTTTATTTAGCTCAGATCCAAACACAAAAAATCTTATTTAGCGAGCTAATTCTTGGTAGTGTAATATTTTTTAAATAAATTCACACATCAATTAAAATTTATCAAGGATTTGTAATGCTAAATGGAGAACTGACAATCAATATATCACACTCCATGTGTTACTGAAGCATATGAGGGAAAGATCATAAATTTAACTGGACTTTTCTCTCAGCATTAACATAATCAGCTTTTGAAGTGGTACAATATTATTTACTCCGCCTACTAATTCTCACTTGTACAGCCTGCAAACATAAGGTTGAATGATGTTGGCCTTATCTTATTAAAACTTCTAGTTCAAATATGTTGTTTACTAAAGGTATCAAGTTTCATGTGTTTGAAATTCATCAAATTGAAGTGATTCTCTACCCACTTGTCATACATTCAGTTATTTACAAATTGACACAAGTAAGGATATGGAACAAATTTAACTTTTTTTGTATGCATGGACACTAGTTCTGTGGTTACAGTCACATTTCAATGCCAAGTAAATGTTTTGTTTTTTTAACTTTTAAGATTTTTTTGTTTATAGTTTTAAAAATCAAATTGACTGAGAACTATGTTACAGTCACATTTAATAGTCAATGATGTACATGAGATATCCCAATTTTCAGGATGAGGAGTTAGGGTCAAAATGACATGGTGCTAAGTAGTGTGTGGGTGTAAACTGATTAAGTGTAGACTTGAAATCAACAATATTCCCATTTGAGAATTCCAACCATTAAAATGGAACATGTGCTGACCTTTGACCTAACTTCAACACAGTCAGGTTATACTGTAAAAGATATGGTTCATTTCAATTTTAAAATGAAATTTCCTCTGGCTATTAGATTTATTTTGACCTGGTGACACTTACAAAAAAGAACTCTCTCTCACATGATACGCTAGTTCTTACGTCAAATCTGTACAACCATTATGTATATATATATTTTTGGCTGACAACGACAGATCAGTTGAATGCAGTAACTCCTAGTATACACATAGTGATATATGACAACTATTAAGAAAATCTATTATTAGCTTTAGCACAGGATAGTGAAGTTGCCATAGTTACCAGAT